TTTGACTTGAGGAGATTTCAACATACAAAATATTATTTTGTATACTATGATTGTTTTTTTCTTTGCAAGATCTTTGAACTAGATAAAAGTAAAATGCTCAGTCTCACATCCAAATTTTGGCTTGAGGGGATTTCAACATACAAAATATTATTTTGTATACTATCAACATAATAAATATTTTTCCCTCATTGTTAAAATATTTTGGTTGAAATTTAGGAACATTGTAAATTATTTTGATTTTTTGAGTACTATTATTTTTTTATCTAAATCTGAAGCACACAAACTAAGGAATAGTTTCTAGCTGTACTTTTATCTTTAAATTGCAAAACTAGTAAATTTGTGACTATTTTCCAATTTTATACATATAATCTCAATATGTTGACTCATTTCTTTTAGTCATTTCAAGTGAAAAAAATGTGATTAAAAATTAGTTTCAACGCAAAATGGTGCACTGTGGGTATGTGAGGGGGCAAATATTTTATGTTAAAAGTGAGAGATGGAAAATATGCCATAAAAAAAATGTCAAACATGAGCGAACCAAATTGCTTGATCCTAAGAATAGGAATGTAGACACCAAATTTCTGTCGATTTTTAATATTTTCTCAAGATTTTCTATTTAATGAATTATTTATTTTCTAGCATTTTAATGTGCATTTTTCTCATTTTTTGCAGGTTTTTTTTAACAACGAAAAGAAAATCAAAAATAAAAGAAATAAAAAAAATCAAATCAAAATCAAATTATTACTAAACTTATACATTTTCATCATTTTCCCCACAAAATACACTTAACCCATTTCTACACTCAACTTTCTTGTCATTTGATAAAAAATAATCATTTTGACCAAACACACACACAAGCTCCTCTTTTTCTCTCCCAATATTGACTCTCTGGCCTCTCTCAGACGAAAAAAAGAAGGAAAAAAGAAAACACTTGTTATAAAACTAATCAAATAAGCTACTATAATATCAAGTGAAATATTGGAGAAAGAAGTAGAGAAATGAAGAGTAATATTCTTATATTCCAATAAGATACAAAAGTCATACCAAAGGGTTTCAATGTACCTCTATATATAGGTACTACAAGATTAAAGCTACATAAATCCTATTAAACATCCACTATTACAATAATATGAAGAAACCTATGAAACGGTTTCTCCACTACATGAATGGATTTATGAATTGTAACTTCTATACATAAGTAGCCATAAAATCATGAATTAATCCCCTTGGGAATACAAAGGGACATCCACATTTTTGTTATTTCATAACACTCCCCCTTGGATGTCCATTACACAAAGAATATGCCTCGTTAAAACCTTACTAGGGAAAAACCCAGTGGGACCAAAAACCCTAGTGAAGGAAAAAAGAGTACACTACTCTTGTGTAATAATTTCTCCCCCTGATGCAAACGTCATTTGAGATCTTTTAATCGCTGCATTCCAATACTCTTCACCAATTTCTCAAATGTCGCAGTTGGTAATGCCTTGGTAAATAAATCGGCCAGATTATTATCTGATCGGATTTGTTTGCACATCAATTTCACTATTCTTTTGCAAATCATGAGTAAAAAAGAATTTTGGTGAAATATGTTTCGTCCTATCTCCTTTAATATATCCTCCTTTCAATTGAGCTATACAAGCTGCATCATCTTCATATAATATAGTTGAAGGATTTTCTTTTCCGGAGGATAACCCACAATTCTTCCGGATATAGTGGGTCATTGATTTTAACCAAACACATTCTCGACTGGCTTCATGAATTGCTATTATTTCAGCATGATTCGATGAAGTGGCGGCTAGTGATTGCTTTGTAGATCGCCAAGAAATGGCTGCCTCCATATGTAAATAAATAACCAGTCTGAGACCTTGCTTTATGCGGGTCGGATAAATACCCAGCATCAGCATAACCAACCAATTCAGGTTTGGATTTATATTGAATAAATAAACCAAGATCTATTGTTCCTTGGAGATAGCGAAAAATATGTTTAAATACCATTCCAATGTCGTCTTGTGCTGGCGAGGAACTAAATCTTGCTAATAAATTTACTGCAAATGATATATCAGGCCTTGTACAATTAGCAAGATACATTAGCTGCACCAATTGCACTAAGATTGGTACTTCAGGACCAAGTATCTCTTCATTTTCTTCTCGTGGTCTAAAAAGGATCCTTATTAGGATCTAATGATCTGACAACCATTGGGGTACTCAATGTATGTGCTTTGTCCATATAAAATCGCTTTAATACCTTCCGGGTATAAGCAGTTTGGTGGACAAAAATGCCACCTTTCAAATGCTCAATTTGTAAACCAAGGCAGAATTTTGTCTTTCCAAAATCTTTGATCTCAAATTCTTTCTTCAAATATTCAACACTATTTTGAATCTCTTCAGGAGTTCCAATTAAATTTAGATCATCAACATATACCGCAATTATCACAAAATTTGATCCATTTTTCTTGATAAAAACACATGGACATATTGGATCATTGGTATAACCTTCTTTTGTCAGACATTCATTGAGACGGTTATACCACATACGTCCAGATTGTTTGAGCCCATACAGAGACCTTTGTAATTTAATAGAATAAATATTTTTAGGATTTGATTTGCATGCTTCAGGCATGTTGAATCCTTCGGAATTCTCATATAAATATCATTTTCAAGATTCCCATATAAATATGCAGTAACGACGTCCATTAGACGCATATCTAATTTTTCATGTACTGCAAAACTCACAAGATATCTAAATGTGATAGCATCCACTACAGGTGAATACGTTTCATCATAATCAAATCCAGGCCTTTGTGAAAATCCTTGGGCTACAAGTCTTGCTTTATATCTCACAATTTCATTTTTCTCATTTCTTTTTCTCACAAATACCCATTTATATCCTACTGGCTTTACACCTTCAGGTGTTTGGACTACAGGTCCAAAAACTTTTCTTTTAGCCAGTGAGTCCAATTCAGATTGGATCGCATCTTTCCATTTTGGCCAATCATTTCTACCTCGACATTCATCAACCGATCTAGGCTCATGATCCTCGTCCTCTGCCATAATATCAAGTGCTATATTATATGCGAAAATATTATCAATAATTATTTCTTTTCGGTTCCAACTTTTTCTTGAAGTGACAAAATTTATTGAATTTTCTATAGTTTCATTCTCTTCAAGAATTGGCTCTTTAGGAGCGACCTCTTCAGGAGGTTGAATTTTGTCACTAATTGTTGATTCATCTATTCCTCTTTTCTTTCGAGGATTTTTATCTTTGGAACCAAGAGGTCTCCCACGCTTCAGGCGTGCTTTAGACTCATTAGCACTTGTGATTTGTTTTCAGGGACATCAATTTTAATCGGAGCATTTTCAGCAGGAATATGTGATTTAGTAACTCTTTTGGAGTCATTAAATGCATCCGGTAATTGATTTGCAATTTTTTGCAAATATAATCCTTTGAACTTCTAATTCACATTCTTTAGTACGAGAATCAAGGAAATTCAATGATATTTTCCAAGTGATTTCCTTTTTCGGTTGATTTTTATCTCCCCCTAATGTCGGAAAATGTGACTCGTCAAAATGACAATCTGCAAATCTCGCAGTAAATAAATCATGTTAATGGTTCCATATACTTAATGATTGAAGGTGATTCATATCCGACATATATCCCCAATCTTCTTTGTAGGCCCAATTTACGACGTGGGGCGGTGCAATTGGAACATACACCGCACAACCAAATATTCGTAAATGAGAAATATTTGGCTCATAACCAAAAGTTAATTGTAGGGGAGAATAAGTGTGATAACTTGTCGGCCTAATTCTCACAAGTGTTGCTGCATGTAAAATAGCATGTCCCCAAGCAGATGAAGGAAGTTTAGACCTCATCAACAATGGTCTAGCAATTAATTGTAGCCGTTTAATAAGTGATTCGGCTAGACCATTTTGTGTGTGAACATAGGCTACAGGATGTTCAACAGTTATTCCAATGGACATACAATAATCGTCAAAAGCATGTGACGAATATTCACCAGCATTATCTAGACGAATTTTCTTTATTGGAAAATCTGGAAATTGTGCTCGCAATTTAATTATTTGAGCAAGCAATCTCGCAAATGTCAAGTTGCGAGTAGATAATAAACATACATGTGACCATCTAGTTGATGCATCAATTAGCACCATAAAATATCGAAATGGTCCACATGGTGGATCTACAGGCCCACATATATCACCATGAATTCGTTCTAGAAATGCAGGGATTCAGTCCCAACTTTAACTTGTGATGGTCTAATAATTAATTTCCCTTGAGAACAAGCAACACAAGAGAATTCATTGGCTTTTAATACTTTTTTATTTTTCAATGAGTGGCCATGTGAATTCTCAATTATTCGTCTCATCATTATAGATCCAGGATGTCCGAGACGATCATGCCAAATTATAAAATCATCGGGATGAGTAGACTTCTGGTCTACTAGGTGATGAATTTCAATTGCACTAATTTGTGCATAATATAACCCAGAAGAAAAAGAAGGTAATTTTTCTACTTCGCATTTTTTCCCATAAATGATACTTGTGATTAATAAAAATTCACCATTTGTCTCAGTCATTGTCTCGATATGATATCCATTTTCGCGGATATCTTTAAAACTCAATAAGTTTCTTCGAGACTTGGGAGAGAATAGTGCATTATTTACAATAATTTTAGTCCCTTCAGGGAGAAATATAGTGGCTCTTCCGGAGCCTTCAATCAATTTTGCACTACCACTAATGGTATTAACATTTGTCTCTCCCATTTTCAAACAAGAAAAATATTTTTTATTTTTCAATATGGTGTGCGTAGTAGCACTATCAATGAGACAAATATCATCATCACCATTATTTAATCCCAAATATTTGACATCCATTTCTTCTTCAGGAAGAAAATTTCAAACAAAAATAAATATTAATAAAGATGCGAAAATAAATATTCAATGGAAAGAAAATTACATGAAAGATATAAAGCATCATAAAAATATCTAAATAATCATGGGATATTTGTTGACATCTTCAGGATGTTCAAAAAAATCAGCAACATCGAGGTGTGTCATGTCAGCATCATCACCATCATCATAGTCATTCTTTTGATCAATGAAATTTGTCTCAACACCTTTGTCTTTCTTTTTCAATGATGCTTGATAGAGGTCAACAAGATGTTCGGCCGTACGACAGGTACGAGACCAATGACCTTCCATACCACACCGGTAGCATTTTTCTTCATAAACTTTCTTTTCTCCATTTTTCTGATCGTAGTTATTTTCCCTCTTTTGGAAACATTTTGTTGCTTGCCCCGGTTAAAATTTTCACGGGGCACACATTTACTACGATCACGTCCACGGCCACGGCCACGTCCGCGGCCTCCTCCACGGCCACCTCTACGGCCACGTCCACGACCTCGACCAGAATTTTGAAATTGGGTCGCATTCGCTTCAGGGAATGGACTTGCACCAGTTGGTCGGGACTCATTTTTCAGCAACAATTCATTGTTTTGTTCAGCCAAGAGAAGACATGCAATAAGTTCAGAATATTTTTTAAACCCCTTCTCTCGATATTGCTGCTGCAGGAGCATGTTAGAGACATGAAAAGTAGAAAATGTTTTTTCTAACATATCTTCATCAGTGACTTTTTCGCCACATAATGATAATTGAGAAGTGATTCTGAACATGGCTGAATTATATTCGTTGACAGATTTAAAATCTTGCAGCCGTAAGTGAAGCCAATCATATCGGGCTTTTGGAAGAACGACCAACTTCAGGTGGTCGAATCTTTCTTTCAAATCTCGCCAAAGGACAAGAGGATCTTTAACAGTAAGATATTCTGATTTTAATCCTTCATCTAAATGATGACGAAGAAAAATCATAGCTTTGGCACGGTCTTGGTTTGAGGATTCATTTTTTTCCACAATAGTATTACCAAGACCCATTGCCTCAAGATGGATTTCAACATCCAATACCCATGATAAATAATTTTTTCCAGAAATATCAAGAGGTACAAACTCTTGTTTTGTAAGATTAGCCATAAGAAATTGAAATAAGATTTTGACTTAGAAATTTACCTCAAAAGTCACTTGAAGAAATACGGGCAGAATTTCGGCAAAATCTTGTACTTCACTTTTGCTCAAAGTAGCACCTTCGTTTTCGCCTTTACTCAAAAGAAGAGCTTTCGTGCTGATAACGTGTTATAAAACTAATCAAATAAGCTACTATAATATCAAGTGAAATATTGGAGAAAGAAGTAGAGAAATGGAGAGTAATATTCTTATATTCCAATAAGATACAAAAGTCATACCAAAGGGTTTCAATGTACCTCTATATATAGGTACTACAAGATTAAAGGTAAATAAATCCTATTAAACATCCACTATTACAATAATATGAAGAAACCTATGAAACGGTTTCTCCACTACATGAATGGATTTATGAATTGTAACTTCTATACATAAGTAGCCATAAAATCATGAATTAATCCCCTTGGGAATACAAAGGGACATCCACATTTTTGTTATTTCATAACAACACTCCACTTTTTGGGCTAAAAAAAAAAGAAGAAAAAACTCTCTCGGGCTCTCTCTCTTTTCTCAACCGAAAAGAAGAAGAAGAAAAAAAAGAGAAACTCCTCTCTCCCTCTCGGCTCTCCTCTCTCCCAAATTTTTTCCAACACATTTGCACACAGCAAGGCAGCAATCGGTTGGATTGGAACTTGGCAATTTCATCAAAAACCTTGGCAAAGGGACCAAACTCTTCATTGAGGTATTTATCTCCCTTTTTTCCAGCTTTTCTTTTTTAATTAACTAGATTGAATGTATGTGTGGTTACCTTTTTTGTTGCTTAATTTTGCTGGTTTTTGTTGGTGTCGTATGGATGAAAATTTGAGAAATAGTTAGAGCTAGATTAGGGAAAAGGGAGATAGATTTTGTATATGCATGTTAGGTGTTTGAAAAAATGCCTAAATCAAAAACCGAATTAAAGTACCCATTATCGTGCATTTTGTTTGTTAAAAAAGATGATTATGGTTAGTGCAAGGCCTGAAAACGTGAGGTTGCTCAAGCATTTTGGGATTTTGAACTTTAGAAGCATGTGAATAATTTTTCTTCATTTTGGACTGTTTTATTTTAATTTTGTCACATTTGTTGTTGCTTTTATTGATTTCAGTTCATAGTTAGGTTGTAAAAATCACAAGGAGTGTTGTAGTATATTTTTTATAATTTTTGGTTAAAGATAGGGTGACTTGAAAAAATAAAAACTGGTCTGTTTTTTGCCATTTTGGCCACTTTAGGGTCAATTTTTGTTAAAACTAATTTCAGAAATGGAATCTAAGCGAAAAATGGAGTAGGGAGGTATATTTTGAGAAATTTTGGCGATCGGCGTCCAGCGGTAGCGCCGCCGGCGGTCGCCATGGCCGCTTCAGCTGGCCGAAGAAGAAGGGAAGGAAACGGCCGGAAAGGGAGAAGGAGAAAGAAAAGAAAGAAAAGAAAAGAAGAAGAAAAAGGAAAAGAAATGGGCTAATTGTTTTAGTGGGCTTGTTTTTTTTAGTTGGGTTTTGACTTGGGTTTTGGTTATTTTTTTTTGGTTTTACGCATGGGCATGGGAGTTGAAGCCCATGCATTTCAGCTGGGTTTTGTTTGACAAAAGGGATGGGCGGGGCCATTTATTTTCCTTTGGGTTTCGGTTGGGCTTAGGTAGTTTTTGGCCAGAAATAAATAAAATGATGGCCCTATGGCCTTTTTCTTGCCCAAATCAGAAACGAACTTGCACTTTAGCCCCTGATTTTTGGAGTAGTTTCACCGTGGCCCAGAACATTTTAAATTTCTTTCACTTAGGTCCTTAAATTAATTGTACTTTGGTCCCTGAATTTTGTCTTTTATTTAATTTTGACCTCTAAACTTTGGAAAAATATAATTTTTGTCCCCAATTCAATTTTTGCAATTCAGTCCCTAATGAATTTTGACTCTCTTTATTATGATTGTTTCTTTTATTTAATAGCTAATTATGCTACTTTTGAATATACTTAACTTGGAATTTTTAGATTTGCTTAAATTTCTTTACGTCTGACATATTAGTGTGAATTTAGTACTTGTATTATTATTTTCTTTTTCAATTAAATTGGTGTCATGATCCTTTTGTTCATTGTGAGTATAAATAGGACAATTTGACTCCATTTAGTCACCACTTCAAACGGGAGGTACTCCTATTTTTATTATTTCAATGTCAATTACGTGCTCTTATGTGCTCCTATGTGTTCCTATGTATTTATATATTTTTATATGCTTTATTTATTTGATTTAAATATTCATTCAAATTTTCTTATATATGTTTTAGTTAATTTTTATAATGATTCGAGAGGCATTTAAATACCTCAAAAAATGTAATAGATAGGATAATTAGATTTGTTTTATTATATTTTTCCCTTCTAGATTGTAGTTAGGCGCCCCGATATAATAGATAGGTTGCGTGTTTATGTGGTTTATGTGTTATATGTTTTACCTGCTTTCCTTAGGATTTTTGCATCTAGATATTATGCTTACGTGTTACGTGCTACGTGCTCTTATGTGTTTATTTGTTTTAATTTATGCTTTATTTGTTTTGCTATGTATTGTTAATGCATGACGTCACCACACTAGCCCAACGCTAGTTGTGGCTTCTCCCTCCGCTTACTTGCTAGTCCAACGCTAGTAAGGATTTTTAGAAATGAGCTAGTCCAACGCTAGACCCTTGAGGCCGTCTTGCGTTAGATTCATCTTTGTGTGATATTTATTACATCTTCATGCATATTTTCATTTTTAGGATCTTTTCTCATTTGCATGATATTCCCTATTATATTATCCCTTACCCTCTATAGGTACTAATCATATAATTTAGAATTGCATCTCATTTAAGTTAGTTCATTTGCTTGTTCATGTTAGGATAATTATTTTTCAAACATAGGAAATAGGTGATTATAACTTTTTAGTTTAAATACCCTATTAATCCATGTATAAGAAAATTATGTCACGAGTTTTTGCCTCCCGTACCTTTTATGTTGCATTCTCTTTTTCTTTGATCACTTATATATGTGTATAATTTAATGTCTTTTTTTATTTTAATTTCATCATTCGCATACTTAAGACACTTTCAAGGAATCATTTTGGCCTTCGCAATTAATGCGATTGGTTCAATTAAACCATTGAATGAACATTGTGTCCCTTTCGATATTTTTTAAGTTTAGATTTGCATCCATGTAGGAAACATCCAAACGTATAAAATTAAGGGTTAAATTAGGAAAATTGACTAAATCTCGCAACTAGTTTAGACTAGGTTGAAAGGGTGCCTTAGATTTGAGTTAATCGAACATTTGCCTTCCCTTTCTTCAACCGTGACTCCTGAATCTATTTTCTCTTGTTTTCAAAGACCTGGAGTTGTCAAAAAGGGTTTTATTTTATTTTACTTCATTTTTTGGGTGATTTGGTACACCAAAACTCCATACCAAGTGGCGACTCCTATTTTTTCTTACAAACCCTTTTAGACTAAATTTTGGACCCAAATTGTCGCCTTTTTAAAGTCCCATTTTAGGTCCCTTTTAACTTGTTTTAAAATAAAATCACATCTTTTATAAATTTCACACTTTCCTTTCTTTTTCATCACAAAAAATGGGGCGCGACAGGGAACTAAACAAAAGTAATTAAATGTAACTCGCACGATTTTCCATTTTCAAATGCATTATTTCTTTTAACATCACAAACTTTCAAAGACCCAAGAAATAAAATCAAGTTAGAAATAAAATGCATAATATGAACCTTGTTATTGATCTAATTTTTAATTCCTCAACTAAAAAGAGCCCTAGTTCCTGAGGCCGAAGAGTTCACAATTTTCACTACACTACTGCTCCAAATTTGCCTTTATTAGAGATCACTCCACATTCATTTTGCTTTATTTTTTTCAAGCAGTAAAAAATCATGTTTCACCATTTCTTCTTAGTACCTTATAGATTCTGTACAATTTGCACTTTAACTCCTGCAGGTCTTTTTCAAAAAAAAAAAAAAAAACTCTTGCAAGCCTCATTATTTTAAAAAATTCTCACTTTTTTCTCTCGTCCAATAAGAACTTTTCCATCATATTCTTTTCCCAACAAGTTACATGCAGAACCTAAAGTAAAAAAGAGAATATACAAATTTAAACAAGTAAAGGAAGTTTAGCTAGAATGTTAGAATACCGTAGAGAAAAGAATAAATAAAGGCAATGTAGAATGGCCAAAAGAGACAAAAAGAACACATGGAATCATACCTTACTTGTATAATCGAATCAATTAAAGTACCAACGAACATAAATTGATTATTTCAGGGTTGTTATTTTGCTACCCTTAGGTAAAGAATAACAAGCTACCTTTTAATGTGAATTTGGAACAAGTGAAGGCTAATGAACCGATTCCGTCGTATTTGTAGTCACCAAGTTATTTCAGAATTTTGTTTTGCCCAATGAATATGTTTACCTGTCAATTTATCCATTAAATTTCAAATTTTGCACGGTTTGGTCATATTGTCAGCTTTGACAGAAGCAATTAGAATTGCGCTAGATTGGCATCACCATCTTGGAGCATAATCCCTCCTTGCCCAATGCCGGCACATTTTTCCCAAAAAAAAAAAAAAAAAAAAAAACTCCTGTCACCAAATCATTTCAAAGTTTTATTGCAGCTACTGAATTTTGTGTATTTTTTTTTATGTCATTTCATCCACTGAAATTCAAATACATAAATATACTCACGGATCCATGGGTGATGTTATACAGGTGACATTAAATTACATATGATGAATGAAAGGACTGACCAATAAGAAAAAACATTTGAAAGTCAATAGGTGAAATTGACACTTTTGGCAAACTTGAACTTTGTTCGTTAGTCCCCTCGTTTCAGATTTTTGACCTTTTTAAATTCCTTGCTTTTAAAATAGTG